CTGTTGACTGATTAGGGGTGGAGTCAGTGTAAGAGGAAAGGAGGACGGGAGGCGGAACACCTGGTTGGCTTGCATTGAATCAACTGAGAAAACCATAACCGAAGACATATCAGTAAGCTCCGCTCATGGCAATACTCATTTATGCTATTTTGGAGTAAAATTGTGATTTATAGCACTGATTCCCTCTTGAAGATTCAGAAAGCACACTGCCTATCCAGTTCATTTGCAACCAATCATAGGGACTCAGAGGACAAACGAACTTCACCTATTAGTGGAGACCCTTCGGTTGCTCTGCAAAATGATACTTCAAAGGCAGCGCCCACGACGTTATTCAAGGATATCTGAGCTAGGATCATCAACAGGCAAACCCATAAAAAACGTCGACTCACAATTAGCAGAGGCCGAAGCAACGATGTCGGCATTGGACGGTGAAGCGGCCAGCCCTCGTACCTCCCCAACTGTATGAGGAAACGATAACGATGAAATACGAGAGTACTCGCCATCAAGTGACAGACGACATATCTAAGTAGTTCCTAACAGGGGAACTTATAAGTGTACTACGCTTATTACATCACTCACCTGATTATCCATTTTGATGTTGTGAGTACCGATGAGCAAATTTATGACATCTTCTTCTGCTGGTACATTCGACAGATACCGAGATTCCAAATCCAAACCGAACATAAGACATTCACCCATTCTGACTTAACAGTGCTTGCTAAAATATGGAAGAACTGGTACGATGCATTTTGCGCGACATAAAGAAATAGTTCCAATCACAAAAGATTGCAGCAATGTAAAAAGGAAGTCAGTCAGCTACTACGAAGGTGAACTGATCTCTGTTGAAACACACAGCCAAGATGGAGAAAAAGGATTTTCCAAGCGAGATAACTACTTTGCATATGGCTTTTGAATTTCCTTCCAACTCAGTTCGACCTCATTCTCCGCTCCTATTACTTTTAACAGTGAGTGAGTAGGCTTTCATTAAACATCAGCTCCTTCTGGCACATCAAAGAACTCCGTAGAAATAGTTCCAATCACAAAAGATTGCAGCAATGTAAAAAGGAAGTCAGTCAGCTACTACGAAGGTGAACTGATCTCTGTTGAAACACACAGCCAAGATGGAGAAAAAGGATTTTCCAAGCGAGATAACTACTTTGCATATGGCTTTTGAATTTCCTTCCAACTCAGTTCGACCTCATTCTCCGCTCCTATTACTTTTAACAGTGAGTGAGTAGGCTTTCATTAAACATCAGCTCCTTCTGGCACATCAAAGAACTCCGTTCTAGTGGTGACTATCCAGCCGAGCTGTCAATAACATCGGGATGTTCTGAAGAAAATGTAACAAATTTTTATGATAAGAATGCCCTGCTGTTAATTGGACCTCGACATTGTGTTCATTAAACTGGAACTCGGAAAAAAATCATTCAGATGCCGGGCACAAGTAGAGATGGAGTTCTAGCTTCGTATCATGGGCGGGTTGTCGCTTGGTCCCGCATCTTCAATGAGGGAGCTTGTGGCTGACCCTGTCTTACGACACTGGAAGCACTACAGCGTTAAGCACTTGGATGGGCGTCTTGTCATTCGAAAGTTCGAGTTGTTCTTCCTGAACTTCGTAGAAAACGATGGACGACAAACCAGTGTAGGGCAGAAATAACATTTCGTTCAATAGATCCGAGTACACAAAATGTAAGCATTGCAATATACAAAGTTCAAGTAAAACGTACAGGTGGACGGCTTCGCTTAGAATGCATCTTTCCGCTGCGACCTTTCACAGTGCTATCTCAATAGGGAAAAAGTGTTGTTTATTGTTGTTTTGCCTGTTTTTGGAAAACGCCAATGTGAAGATGTAGCATCTTTTTCGAATCCTATTGGATAATTTTACTAATCAATCGTGAGAAATTCAGATCTTGGATGACATGGGCGAGACGAGAAACTTGCAGGTGTGGACACTAACAGTACAGCTTGAGTTACCCTGTCTTCATTTGGATGAACTACAATATGTATTATCAAAAAGTAAGCTAGGAAGCTAAAGCTAGAAAATAGAATTCATGAGCACGTGCTAATAATGTCTCTGCTTCTGTTTCATAAGCCTGGTCTTCGAAGCAGAACCGCTTTGAAGGTAAAAGATCATCTAAGAGAGGGAATAGGCGATGAAGCCAAGGTGTGTTTTGGAGGNCAAGGAGATATTATTGGTGGACTTCCACCCTGCAGGCAATATGGTAAGCACTTTTAGCAACAAAGAAACCAGAGAGGCTCTCAGCCTGCTAGAGACATGATAAACAACAAAAAAGGATTCTCCACCACAATGCTTTTAAGAGAACCTGGTGGCTTAATGATGTGAGCGTTGGAAAATAGTTCTAGCATTTACAAAAGGTGATTAAATGGGAAAATCTTCCATTCTGCAATCCTTGAATGGATAAAGTGCTAAGGAAAAGAAAGGCTTGCTCATGGAACCAAAAATATCTGGGACCTCATTTTTGAGAACGCCTTCGCGAATTTTAGAATGATTTTAAGGATCTGGTACAGGTAAGTAACGATTGCTTCGGCGATAGAACAATATTCATGGTAATTTACCTCTATGACAGTGGGAAATATCTTTAAAAATAAAGCATTTATTCGTACAGAATTCATGGTCAAATATTGAGAACATGAATGAGGAACATATTTAGACAATAAAAAAAATACACAATCAATCAATTCCTACTTCACTGTTTGTGAAACTGTGTTTACGGGGAAAGATTAAAAACAATTAACAACAAAAACCAAGATTCCTATGGCCGATGAAAAATGACCCACGCACTATTTCAAGGCACTTAAGGTTTAAAATAAAAAAATTTATAAAAATTTTTGCTAGGAATCGATGTTCAAGAGATTAAATATAAATTATTAGAGACTTGATTGTAATAATCTTTTGTAGCGAAAACTTGTAATTATATCAGGGAATACTTACTCAAGCTACTATTTCAAATCTCGTGCTACCTAACCTATCCTTGGCGTATATTCTCTTATTTGAAAACGATTGAAAATGACTATGAAATTTTGAACCGCTGCACACGGCCCTTATGCACACTTAATACTGAGTTCTCATCTCTCATCATCTCAAGATTTTTCAAAATAAGTTCGAAAAACTTTGAACATGTGCACTACTGAACATATGCCACTACTGCCAAGTTGACTTGTCGATCCAGCAACGACTTTTGAAAAAAAAAATTTGACTGCTCTTGAAGAAAAATATTGAGCGACCGAAAATGAAATATGCTATATTCTGTGATCGTTTTGAATTAAGACTTTGTACGAGTATACTCCTAATTTCCTAATTCCTTCGATGAGAACTCAGTCCCTAATAGCATCGTTCAGAGTACAGCGTCAACCAACCAACCCTCCAGCGTCAAGCGCTAGCATTCGGCTCTGTTAAAGGCGCAGGTTTTCGTTCGCTATGGGCATGCAGCGGGCCTATGATTGAATTTTTGCCATTCTGTATACCACTTTTACTCAATTTTCTTTTACAGAGTTTTTTTTTTTGATTTTTTTTTGCATGACGACTTTTAGGTAATTTCATTCGGTAATATTCTTTCCACAGGGTTTTGCTTGTTTTTTTTTCTGGGAAATAGTATACTGCAACGCAAAAGTAACCAGCGGTGGCAAGAACTATGTGCTTGATAGCGCTCGACGCTGTACTCTGAGAGGCTCAATCACCTAAATATTGAAATTTGCAATTTGAATATTGAAATGTTTTAATTTCAGCGAAAAAGCATTCGTTCCACTGTCGATTCGAAAAATCAGAAAATATCATTAAAAGCTGTCCTTTTGTCTATGGTCATTCTAACTATAGCTCCGCATTGATTGCATGAGACAATTTTCCGGAATTATAACATCATTTCGAAAGATCACAGTCACTAATTTAATATTATTTTCAAAAGTCTTCTCCTAAAAATATGTCCTGACCGACTATTTTAAAAACTCTGAGATTCGATGAAAAGTAAAGCCTATGAAGGAAATAAGATCCCTGAGCAAGAATGAGCAATATATAATGAGTAGCAACCTCCCGAATAATGAACACTGAAAGGCACAAACTTGGAATCAAAGAGGAAGGAAGTAGGAGTTGTACATGACTCCAATGAGAGACAAAACCACATTCGTGAATGTAACAAAAACTAAGGAAAACGACCACACCGCTCGGCATACGGTCGGATCGAAAATTGATCGGAAAGTACCAGTCGTAGGGGGCAGTGGCGAGCTTCCTGTTGGAGCACCCAACCAAGACAAATCTCCTAAATAAGTACTGATCTCTCTGAAAAGCTCAATACAGAAGTCGAAACGGTTTCAAAGATACCCACCCGTTGTTTTCAATAATAGGGCGAAGAAAAATGTAAGTAGGACAGGTGAGAAATACTGAAGAATAACAGCACAGAAGTAGGAATAATAACGGAAAATCTGAAAGAAATTGCAATTAGTGATAAACTTTGTGTTTCACATAGCGACAACGAGACCGATAAACGCTTCTCTGGCTGAGATAGATATTTGTAGCAATATCGTCTCAAAAGGACCTTTTGAGCAGACACAGCCTTGGACGGAGATCTCGAAAAACCTCTCCATGACAGCAGAAAATTAATTCGAACAAAGTTATCACAGAGCCTCACTCTACCTTTAGGACTCCTAGTGAAAAGCGCAAAAATCTCTCGGTGGCTGAAGGTTAATTAAAACGTGCAGCGACGGTCATGCTAATAGAGCACCCAGTTTGCAGGCCGATATTCGAATCTCCATACATTTCTCATTTTTCCTCCCCTTTTTTTGCGGCTATTTACTTGTGTAGCCGGTCATAATGCACCCGCTACCTAGCTGCTTCACAGCACAGCTGAGCTTTCGGCAGATTCTGCTACTTTTCTATCAACTCACCAACTTTGAGTTTTCTATTTGATTTGAAGTGAAAAGGGTCTACAGACTACCGTACGAAGTTAGGTATAGGTGACAATACCTATACCACCTATCTGTAGACATACTTAATTCAGTTTCATGTCGGGGCCAACTATAGGTCATGGGACTCAAACACCCTTTTCTTGAANAACAGCGGAACATGTCAGAACGCTTTTTTTCATGGTCGATATTGTTCACTGTCAATTTCAGAAAGTGAAAAAATAATAAAAAATGACTAGAGCCAATCCGAATGCACGATGCAACTAATTGTAAGAGCAGTTCAAATCGCCAGGTACGAGTGTCTCAGTTCTCATATGAATAACTTCGAACGACATTTTCCACTTAATCACACTTGATGCTAATGCATTACGATCTCCAGACTACGCATGGATGCGGATGAGTAAAATTTCGACGGCAGTCAAATCGGGCACCAGCTCGATTACTAATCGCCCCATACTAGCCTTTACTGTAGAATTACAAGAAGGAAAGAAGAAAGGACTCGGAGGTAGATATCAGCCCAGTAGGTCACCTCCACTCACAAATGAATGCACAAAACACAGCGGCCAAAACAACTCCATAATTTTGTCCAGTAATTCTAGTACTGATCAGAGAAGCAGTCTAAGATTAGCGTCCAAGGTCATTAGCTGATATACCAAATTAAAGATGGTTGCTTCAACTTGGAAGGCTCTTCTGTCAAACCAATTTATGATTCTCATAAAAGGTTTTCCCATTGAATAATTTAACATAATGAAGCGAAGATTCTCACGGTTGCTTGAAGAGCGATATTCCTTATGTATCCAGTTTCGCGTTGTAATGCGTTCAGTTTGGAAGCTGAGAGATTCAAGTGTGCCTAAATTTTCCGATTTACGGAAGAAAAATTAGATGCCCATCAGATTTGTAGTCTAGAGTCCGCACAATGGCATAACACCACATCAGGCAGTAAGCCGCCTTAGATGGGCCCATAAAAAAGTAATTGTCGATTTTGAAAATATACGATTTCAAAAGCTGCAAAAATGTGGTAGACGTATGACACCCTCGAATAGGGAACACAAGTTCGTTTATATCAGGGTCCATTACTTACACTAACACGCAAAAACCTTTTTTGAAAAAGAGAGAAAGAAGATGCATACTGGGCTAGGACCAACAGATCGAAAAAGAACATCAACTATTTACTACCTGAAAATGAAGAGTCCGAAATGTCGCACGGCAAAGAAGCGTTGCGAGAACCAAATAAACACGTAAGATATCAAGTTGGCTTTCAGTTAATCTAAAAATAAGGTTTTTTACAAATACGAACAAACAAAAAAAAAGGTTCGTGGAAATGTTTACAGTTTCCGAGATCCAAACACAAGTTGTTTTTTCACAGGGCTAGTGAATGATAACAAAGTCAGCAATGGCAGCAGAAAAGTGATGTGCAAACCTAACCTGTAAGAAGAATATATCAGTTCTGTAAGGAGAAACTTGACAACAAGCCAAGCAGGACAGACTTACTTGGCAAGTCTTGACGCTTTGGCTTGGGCTTTTGTATACATATTTGCATAACGGAAATTTGGAAAGACCAACATTGCTGCAATAAATGAAAAAAGAACGGACATCGATACATACCTGCAAAAAGTAGCATGAACAATGAAATACTCATTCTCTGGAAGCCAAATAAGGGATGGTGTTGGAACTCACAGAAGTATTGGATCCTTCGAGTGGGTAAGACTGTATTCACTCACACCTGTTTCAGTCATCAACGTGGCGATGTTGGAACAAAACCGATCATATCCTATCATAAAAATTTTTCTTACGAATCACGACTGAAGTTACTGGGACTTTTTGTGTGCCACAGAAAATTCGTATAAATATTTTCATAAAATTCATTTTTGATTGTTCACAAGAAAGAAAACCAGCCCTAAGTGACGTGTTATTACATCAAAGTGAGAAAACTGAGTGAAATTTCTACTCAAAGATCCTAGGAACCCTTACCGCAGAGGAATTAGTTTGCTTTAAATAACCACGAAAGAGGAAAATAGAAATTTTGCGAAAACACGGTACTAACCTGCGAGAAGACGAATATCGAAAAAGTAATCAGCCTGAGTGGCAAAGATAACGGATAGAAGGAAGAAAATTGCGGCAAACACTAGAAGTACGCTCCGCTCATCCTCGTTGACAACCAGCCAAGACGTAAGTCGAGCTAATACCTAAACTGGGAGCAAAATTAAAGTTCTACCCAAAAGCTCAAGGCGGGAAGCTACTAGTAAGCCTAAAAATTCTACCCCCATTGAAACATGCAGGCTGATGAAGTTCTACTCAAAAGTGCCGAATGGTATCGGTACGAGAGAGTAATATACCTGTAGGACAAAAGAAACGCCAATAATCAGCCACAAGATTGAAGTATTTGTATCCGTATTAGAGGAGAAGAGGTAGACGAAAACTTCGCTGAAGGTATAAACCTGCAATGTTGCCGTTCGTCATCAGGAGCTCAGAGCCCACACAAGAATGCAAATGAACCACAAACTCAAATACACTTACAAGGATGCATAATGGCACAAAAAGGGATAGCCAGTGGACAGATGAATAGAGGGGAAGATTTCGCAGTTCTTCCTCAATCACTCTTCCCACTTTGAGTCGAAGAGGGAGCGATTTTGGCACGTTGAACCCATCGCTGTTTTCTTCCTCCCTGCAAATGAAAAACCATCAAAGAATAACAACGGTAACAAAAATAGCTTTTTAAGATTAATAAACAAAAAACAACATGTCAGTATAAACTTCATCGGAGGCTAAACATGATTCATACTGGTGAACCCCACCGTTTTTTCCTACGGACTCTTGGATTCTCTTTGGACGGTGGCATGAGGGCACGAATTTCATCATTGGAAGGCGCAATGAAGCGAAACAATCTGTAAACAAATATACTGAGTAAGAGGAGACCAATATGTGGCCAACATTCTATCAAAACCTTGACCGACCCTTTAACAATATACAGTTCTACAATTGACAGCCGTGATCCTAATTTACTCATTATAGTGAGAGCCACTAAAGAGACGACTATGTGAAATCCAAGTATAGCCTAAAACAGCAAAACTAACGTAGGTTAATCACTGAAAATGAAAACAACTCACCATTATAATGGTAGCTCTGTCCTACAGAAACCAGAGAGCTTCCAGCCAGCTGCTTCCTAGAATATTTGTGACCAAAAATGTTATGATGATGTTGTCCAGGACAAAAATTTAAGGCAAGAACCTCTTCTTCAGTCTTACTCACAGTCCTACAAAAAGAATATAAAGTTTTATTACAAACGTAGTCTCTCTCTCTACATATATTTCGTCGTCGCACATGATAAAAATACAATCAAATCTGCGAATTCTCGACATCACACATCAATGAAAAACGAATATATCACACCTGTTCACCTGCGGATGAAGTTATGTGGTAACGGACATCGTGAAACCAAAAAGCCTGACAGGAAGCGCACAATAGGGTCGATTTTAGGTACGAGGGATAAGGGAAGGATTCAACAGAAGAAACGATTACACTCATAGTGTACTTTTACTAACGCGATTAGAGAAGAACGAAAAAGAAGAAGCCCAAGAGACCGGTTCACAAATAAGTGATCATTCGTTCATGCCCAGCACGAAATCAGTGGAACCATGCGCAATAAGTTAGTTCTAGAGCTACTACGAGTGATATTAGATGGAAAAGTGATTAAAAATGTTTTTAAAAATATATTTTAGAACGGGCGTTGTGTCGCGATTGCGTGAATTAAAATAAGAACAAAAGAAAAACAAAAAAAGGACAAACAAAACGAATCATGCGGGATAGCAAAAGGATCACATAAATAGCGTACAAATTTCAATACCTTCATATATGCCATACAAGGATGTGCAGAACAGCAAAAGCTTACTACCAAAATGTCTAAGTAGTTTGAAACGATGAATGCAACAGAAAACGCAAAAAGGTAGAAATTAAATTTCGTTACAATCAGCTGCCGAGTCTGAGACGCCATTTATCGCTTTCGATTTGTCTTCTACTCCCCAAGAATTCTTGGCCATCAAGAACTGTCGGAGCAGAGTGGCCAAAAGGGACCTCAGGGGCTGGCCTTCGGCAGTTTCGACTAGTTCGCATAGATGGAGCGGAAACTCAGCACCTAATGCCGGCAGCAAATGTTTAGGCAGACGGAGACATTCTCGTAGCAATTCGCAAACAACTGGAGCGTACGCTGTTCGACGAGCATCTGATACTGCTTCGCCATACCCACGCAACACAGCCGAAACAACACTAAAAGTACTCTTAAAAAGTAAAAGTAAAGTAGCCTAAATTGAAGGTCAACTGTCTTTGACACTTACGAAAGTACGCCTTTAGCAACTTGTTCCTGTACAGGAGCAGATCGAGGATCATTCAAGAGCCGCAATAAAATGGCCAACATTGCTCTTAAGGCGTGGGTCTCTTGCCTGGAATAAGCTCAAAATGGCTGAGCAACAAATAATAAAAAATAGAAACTGCAGAAGCCCTACATCTCTACAAAAAGGCAGGGAGAAAAAAGCCACTACTGACCTGATTAGATTCGGTTTACTTGAGCCACGCAAACCTGCTTTCCACAGCAAGGTTCGCTGACCATTGTTGTCGTTGAATTGCTTTGCTAATCGCTGACTTTCTCCTAGCGCATCACACAGGCTAAATTGAAAAAGCAAGTAAGAAATGTGTTTGAACGTAACCAATTTTTTCGAATGCCTCACCTCAACAATAGTATCGGATCCATTGTGTTAAACAACCCGTTATTGAGAGTTTCATCGTAATCTGGACCATTTAAATCATTTTTAGCTGTAGGAGTACTAAGCAGAACTTCCTCTGAAAACGCACTGACTTCATAAAACAAATGAATCTTCTCGCTAGATGTCATTCTTACCTGTGCTCTTTTTAGTTCCCAATACAGTGGAAGTCACCGCATCCACTAACTCCGACTGAACAACACAAAAAACAATTTGTTCCGAGAATGCAGCATCAGGATGGATGGAACTGTTAATGTAATCGTTGAGCAACTATGAATCCAACAATGACCTTCCAAACCTACCCATTCGGCCTTCCATCTATGCTCGGTACTTTTTCCTCAAAATCCTCAGGTGCTCCATGAGGACTGGACTGCTTATCAGGTTGCCATGTCAGCAGGCTGAAAAAAATTGTTGCGGGATAGCTATCGAGGTGATCATTGAACTTGGTAAATAAATAGCACTGGGTTACTATATCGGGAAACTCACGATTTGGGAAGCGTGGCAGCAAAGAGACGACGCAGAAGCTGTACAGTGCGTTCCCACATCTCGTTCGTAAAACGTGCACCATTCAGCAATATTAGAGTCTCAAGACAGTTCACTGTCGATCGCGCCAACTGCTCGTTCTCTGAACAAATGCATGACATAGACCGTATGCTAATTGCCCTGGTGGGGGGGGGGGGGGGGGNTCTTGCCTAGAAACCGAGATATGACCAATTTTGTGGAAAAACCGTAAGGAGGAAAATCCCAAGGAACAGATTTCAAGTGGCCCGGCTTTCAAACGAGCCTTTTGCTTAGTCGTACGTCAGACTACTCAATTCGAGAGCTGCTGAGAGTTTAGAGAAGAGCGACTATTAGGAGAAGGATCTGCTTTAGGGAGGAAGACAACGTCCATGGCCATAATCTCTACCCACCCCTCTACCTTTGCTTAGGGGCAAGGCCAAGCGATCAACAGATTTTCCGGTTCTAAACTCGGCTATGCGGAGTACTCTTCCATTCTTCTGCCCCATCGTCAGTGGTCTGAGACAAAGAATTGAAAAAAGCATTTTAGTTTTTCGCATGGGTCGAAGTATTTTCCTTGGGAGAAATTCCCCTTTCCTCCCCTGTAGTGCTCCGCATATATGTTCCCACAAATTCGCGAAGATTATTTCAAAAAACCGTAGAAAATTCAACGAAACACGATCGTAAACATCGATTTCATGTCAAATTATATGGTCCTGGTTTCACCCGAGAGTAAATATGCGAACACTACAAAACTTACTCTGCTGTATGCAAACAGCGAACTGCTCGTAAATTGATGGCAACACCAGATCACAAAGTTGCGGGAAAAACTGCGTGAAAACGTCAACAATGGCATACATCGCATGGTTGCATGTCGTCATCATCCACTCTTTCTTCTGAACAGCTCTCTCAAGAAAATGTAACGCCAAAAATTAAAAATGTACTTACGTCTCCCCGATTCTCGTCCAATTTGGCATGGTCAAATATCCGAAACACAATATTGAACAGGTCACGCCACCACTCTGAGCGAAACTCACTGCCATGGCTTTTCATTATTTCAAACATTACGGTCAAGCTTCTGGTGCGCACGTCCAATTTGCATCGATTTATTATACAGCTAAAGTAAAGTAATTAGTAGAGGGTATGTTTGGACATTAGAAAGAACGTTAATCAGATGGTGACCTTTGAATTCGAGGTTACAAAGAATAGAAAACAAACAGTTTATAGTATTTAGCTGCCTTACTACCACCCAGAGTTCCAATTAATTTTACCTGAGCTCAAAGAAAATCGGGAACCAGCCACGAAGCCATATACGCTGGTCACCGGACACGCTCCACGACTCTTCCCAAGGAGCATCAATGATGCGTTCTTGATTCGTAGAAACGTATCTGAACACCATCGTTATATAGCACAAACGGGATAAAACGAACCTAATGAATCGATTCGTCAATCAAGACTGACTCAGCACATGATCGGATCAGTCGTATCGCTTCCATGTTCATGTCTGGGTGGTTTGTGTTGCATGCGAACTCCGCCAAACACTTCAGTGCTTCCTAAAAATAATCAAGATAAAGGCTCATAAAGCCAAAATTTATCGTTCGTAAAACACCGTG